ATATGGGTGGGATATGTGGATGCGGGTGAGGTGTGTGGATATGGGTGTGTGTGGGTGTGGGGTATGAGTGCGGGTGGGTTGTGGGTATGGATGTGAGAGTGGGGTGTGGGTGAGAGTGAGGAGCGGGTGGGAATGAGTGTGTGCGTTAACTCTCTTCACACTCACACCCACCCACACCCACACCCACATCCACACCCCACACCCACACCCACCCCACACCCACACCGACACCCACCCACACCCACACCCACCGACCCACACCCACACCCACACCCTTATTGATCGATTTCAAAAAATTTTTCATCACTTTCTCATGTTTATATTTTTATTATTATAAGAGAAGATAGCATCCAATAATACGCCATTTGAAAGAGTGTCACGAGCACTCAAACCTCATATGAAAACATTCGGTTCGAGATTATTTTGTGTTTGCATGAGAACTAATTTTTGTCAAGCCTCAAAACTTATGAAACACCCTGTATAGAGAAAAAGTTTGTTTAAGTTTTTTATAAGGAATTAAAGTACCACTACCACTACTTTTGGATAGCCTGAAGTAATAAATATGTAAATCGCTGATATTTCATAGCAGCAAAAAATGTAGATCGCTTCAGCATGACCCAAGTACGTCCAAATCACGATTGTCGATATTTCCTAGAGGTATGGGAGGAGAGCAGGAGAAAGAACGAAGCCGATTGTGATCAGGTCCCTCGCACAACAGACGACCTACTCTCAGGCCGATCGTTCCTGGGTCTCACCAATCCTATTCACATAGTAACGATATTGTCTGCTTATTTTTATTTCGCTTTCTGCCAGAGAAAGGCAAATGGTATTTCAAAATCCGGTTTTCATTCCAAAGTCACTACGAAGCTATAAAAAATTGGCAGAAGGTACTAAGAGGTTTCGCAGAAAGTCGAACATCTTAGGAGAGAAGCCCCTCTCATCCTTCCTAATGGGAACTCTGATCAATACCCATACTCTTCAATAGATAATTGTCATTTTGAACTTCATTACCTCATCCGTGGATGGGTAACGTATCAACCATTTTATTAGGGAAATATTAGTTAGCGTAGCTTTTCTAAATACAACACTTAATATTTACGCTTGTTTATGATTGACATTAAATAGAACTATTTACAAAATACATGCCCAGCCTCAAAAGAATGAAATAGCTAAGCTGAAACAGGAGTTGGCGTATGAAAATGTCCGAGTCGTTTCTTCAGGTATTCCACCTTGTCGTCATGCTTACAAACAGCGATTCGCATCATGGCGAGCATATTATGTGCCGCGGTGCTATGATCTTGTACACCACCATGAAATGGCACAGTGGCATCTTTGCCTACCTGATGCTTGAGCAAATCGCGTCCGCCTGGATGAGAGTCAATAAAATTGCTGACATCATGAACGAAACCAGCGATCAGAACGAGTTTACGACTGGTATCTTTGGTGGCTAACTCTTGATATTCTTCGAATGAAATTATGGGCAACTGCGTGTCGTCTTTAGGCCAAATTATATTTTCGGCAAATTTGTCCAAAGCTTTGCGCTTCATAGCATAGCGCCCTTTTAGAATTTCATTCTCGGAAAACTTCTTCAGATTGTAAGCTAGGCCGAGTTTTTGAAAAATCCAGATTGTCCACTTTGTAGGATCGTACTGGAACCATTCACGTCCATTACGATAGTCGCATGGAAACTCATGATGAAAATTATGATAACCTTCGCCGAGCGTAACAAAAGCCGTAATAAAATGATCTCGAGGAGTGTGCTTGTCGTCGTAAGGTGTATCACCTAAATAGTGTGCTAGTGAATTGACACAGAATGTTGCATGATGAAGAATCACTAGACGAAGTACAGCAGCATAAAAGTAGCCACCACGATAGTCACCCCATCCAAGTCCACACACAAGACATGGCAACACGAAACCCATGATCACATTCAAAATGAGAAGGTTTCTATACTGCCATTGAACACTAGTGTCATGATTCAGATCAGACATGTCCACGAAACCAGGTTTTCGACGTGGTTTCATCAATAACCATCCGATATGGGAATGAAAAAGACCTTTGTGAGCGCCGTATGGATCGAGATCGGTATCCGTATATCGATGATGTGCTCTATGATCACGTGTCCACCATAGTGCAGATCCTTGAACAGAACCAGCAGCCAACATGAGTAATATGTAGCGCAGTGGCAGAACTGCCTCGTAAGATCGATGAGCGAAGAGACGATGATAACCGGCAGTGATGCCAAATCCTGTGAGCCAGCCCCATATGAAGGCAAATCCAAGCGTCTGCCAAACGAAGGACGTAGTACAAATGCCATAAAGAGCGATGAAAGGTTCAGTACCGATTACTATTGTCTTTGGCCAATCGACTTGTTTGTACCAGTTCGACCAAGTTAGAGGTGGCAGTTCTGGTTCATTCAATAACGTTCGAGCGACATAATTGTTCTTTATAAAATATTCTTCTTCCTCTCTAGAAGTCATTTTTGATTTTGGCGATGGTGTTGATTGCTTGACAGTCAAAGTTGGTAAATCCAATGGCCTCGGTATATAGGAAATTGTAGAACGAGAACGTTTTGTTTCTTCTGCTGTATACACCATGTTTTGCAACAATACAGATGTAATACAAGTCTTTATAATATCTGAAACATATAGTTAGTGAAAATACATGTTACATGATTACATCCAACTACGTGCGATCCGGTATGTAAAACATATCCATGAAACTATGAGATTATGATACTATGATAAAAAAAATCAAATAAAAATAAAAAGATACAACACTCATAATCAAGTCAGATTGCTTTTCAGAAAGATTGCTGCCAAAACACTTTCCAACAATCTTGACATTGCCGTAGCGATATATGCATTTTGGCCTATAATTTTTCGATCAACAAACTCTTTAGTACCGTTATTTTTATTCAAACTGTTCAAAATTTGATGTATGGATCATTTATTTATTGAATCCTACGGAAATCGACGGTTTAGTTATTCCTCTGAATCCTATCATAATTCAACGACAATTACACCTCGACTAATTTTATATGGTGATTACCGATCCATTTCTTTTTCTGAGAAAAGTGGCTCAATTTTTGTAAACAAATATCTACGGTACGTTTTTATATACGATAAGTTCGGTACATTCCATTTTCTATATCGATCTTAAATAAACATAAGTAAAAATTTAAGAACGAAGGTAATTGAATTAGATTGGCAGAACAGCAATTATTGAAAAATAACCATAGATTAGTAATAAATTTAGTATGGACTGTAAATCTAGTAGAGTCGCTTGCCCTAAAATCGTGGCACTGACTGGCATCATCAGCATTAATACATTTTTTTATGGCGTTAATGCATCGTTTTTTTGTTAGAGTATATATGCAGATTGTGATAAAAATGATATTCAAACACTATCAAAGACCAATATATGTATATAATGCTGGTCTGTATTTTAGTATGACAGAGTAATACTATTATGCTACGATACTACGTTCAGTTCAGTTTGTGTTATTCATGTCGTAAAAAAGATCATTTTATTATATGATCTGGTATGTGAACGACCGTTTGAGAAAAAGGAGGATTTGCGAAAAAACTTTTTGGAGGATTGCTCTCAGTAAAGGAGGAGGAAAGGAGGGTCTCGTTTTTTGCTGTGAAAAGAGTATTGTAGTGTCTCAGACATGCAAGTGTTTGATGGAGTAAGACTGAACACTCACAGCTCCTTTTAAAAGGAAAGATATCCTGCATTTTAAAAAACGTCAACGCGATTTCATACGTGTATCTCAATGTAAAGAAGACTGCATTCTTAAGAGAAACCGGTTGGGCAAACAGAAAACCTATAAACATTCCGAAAAACGCGAGACAGAACTTTTGAGCTAACGATGAATGTACATCTCTAGCGAAGAGATGACGATAAAAAATACTCGTTAGAATTTTTAACCAATCCTTATTTATTTATTTCATTCACAAAATAGAACAATATCAAGTTTTGAAAAGGCTGGCTAGTATACTCTTCAGCGAGATTCAACAATTCTCATCTAGCACGCAACAGTAAACTTGTCATGAAATTTATTCAATATCTGCATAATTCTGACGCAAAAATAGCGGAACTCAAACAGAATTTTTCGATTCCATCAGCAGCCATTTCTCTCTGTCAGAATTGTACAAAAGCACCCAAAACTATTTTCAGAGAAAAAATACTTAGGTCAATCCAAAAGTTCTGTCGGAGATACCTTATTTCCGAATAGTAAGCTCAAAGAAGTTTTCTTTTTGTATGGAATGATGAAGACAACGATGCTTTATTTTTCTATGTTATTTCATCACTATTTAACTAAATATTATAAAAATAAATTCCCGTAAGGATCTAGTTCGTTCGCATCTGAGATGGTAAAATGAACGGTCGTGAGTATTTTTCGAATAACTTTTGATAGAAACAGAATAGAGAACTATAGTTTTCACCGTTGGAAAGAGAAAATGAAGATGCATCAAATGGTATATCATAGATTTTTCTAATATGATTTCTGAAGTATTTTTATTCAATTTTCTAACCGCCGGAAAAATGCTTTTTTTTATGAAAAGAAACACCAAAAAAGTTGATAGAAAATTGTATCAAAGGTTCGACTAGAATACATATTATCCCTGAATAATTAATTTTAAACGTCTGAATCTTTCACAGTTTGTAGATCTTCGATTATCGGTTTAAACGTACAGATGATTATTGAAAATTCACTGTAAATAACTCACGAGATGGATATGTTCTTTAAAAAGCCAATTAAAGACCTTACAAAAAAACCAGGTCAGAAAGATCTATAATATACGATTCGATGCGTCTTCATCTCCACTTTCCAATGCTGAAAACCACAGTTTCTATCTTGTTACTATCAAAAGTTATTCAAAAAATATGAGCATTCATATAACCGTCACATATCATGACAAACGACATTTTGTCGAAATTTTATTATTATGATATTAGTTGAATAGTGATGAAATAACATAGAAAAATAGAGCATCGTTTTTTCTATCATTGTATAAAAAGAGAAAACTTCTTTGAGCTTACAATTCGAAAATAAGGTCTCTCCGACAGAACTTTTGGATTGACCTAAGTAATTGTTAAAGATACAATTTATTGTTGACTACACTGCTACTCGATAAACCGTCTTTTTATTTTATTTGTCTCTCTTCACAGAAAACATTCTTTGCAATATGAACAAGAACAAAACTAAAATAACCCTGCATTCAACTACATAAGGGAGCTTATTCCCACGGGCTAAAACATTCTGATGTTGAGCTGTTAACGAAGGTACAAATTTTGACGTCAGACTAGAATTTTATTTCAGTCCTGTTGAAGAAATGGAGTTCTCAGCAGAAATCCGTTGTCAACTAGAGAGTGCACGAATGATAGTTATCTCAGGAAAAGTAATCTGATTCTCCGCTCATACCAGAAAAGCCGTTGGTTTTGGCGAAATCGATATGAATTGTGTCTGAAGTTGGTGGCATCGCAGAACAGTATTCGTTCAGTTGTATCCGACTGAAGGAAAGCTTCGGGATAATGGGCAATCAAAAAAAAACACGGTGAAAGCAGTCCTTTTCTGAATTTCGATGAACTTCCAACAGAATTCTGTCGAATCTGATCGTATTGAATAGATTTGTACCGAACGATTTTTACCTGGGATCATTAAGACAGCCACTACATCATAAACCTCACCAATTGTATTTTATGAGTGTTGTCACTACTGATTTTAGTAACAAAAATATGGAAAAGGAGGAAGGCTTTATCAAATGGAGGAGAAGGGGGAGCATTTTTCAAGAAAAGAAGAAAAACGAGGATAAGAAGGAGCATTCACATACCAGATCGCAACTGCAAATATAGTTTTCACTGTTTCGTAGAAGCAATACAATGCGCTGCTAGTGATATCCTGAAGGGGCCAGAAATGCGAGGTTAATTGCAGATTCTTTATGCATAGATTCGACCGAACAAATGATGTTGAAGAAATAATTGTACATATGAGAAATTCCTCGTATGCGAAAGGAATGGTGTACATAATTAATTGCTAAACAACATTCTCATTCTATGGGGATTACTAACATCTTTCTAAAATTACGCAATTGTTGGTCGATCTAATCAAAGTGAAAGAATACAATAAGACAGAAGGCATAACTTATTTTTTTACACCGATAGTTATTTCGTTTCTTTGACAACAACGAATGACAGATCATCTAATAATTCTTCAACGTTAAAAGAAAAAAGTACGATTCTAATTTAGACTCCAATAATAAAACAATTGTAGGAAAATCTTAATAAATTCTAGTGATATGAAAGAAATTAGCGGAAGTTCGTGAAAGTAGATGAGTCTGATCAAACTTGCAACAATCCTTACAGGTTTAATCAATTGATAAAACATGGTGAATATTCAGAGCTGAACATGGATAATCAGAATTTGTTATTCTTAGCATCAATCTCTCGTTTTCTATACCTTTCATTAAGTCTACCGATCAAGGGGTGAATAGGGGAATCCTAAAATTCTGAAGTCTAGGATTCCCAAGAATTTCTCAGAGTTCCAGGATTCCACTATTTGCCTCTTGATATTAACACAAGAAAATCATGCTGAATTTATATATAATTTAATAAAGAAATGGGTACAAGATAATAAAGAAAATTTTAATTTTGTTGAATTAGAATTAAAGCTAGATGTTGATTATACATTAACTATAACCGATAATAATAATGTTGTTGAAGGTGTAATAAGATGTAAATGTGGTGTTAAAATAAAGTTAAGAAAAAAAGGATGAAAAAGTTCAAATTACCAATTTCTACAAACATTTAAGATCTTTAACATGTTCTATGATGAGAGAAAAAAAAACAAAACATAATCAGCAAAATCAAATGTTGCATAATGATATCAATAATAGTAATAATGATGTCGGAAGTAATAATAATAATCAAACGACAGTTTCTTCACCAGCAACATCTCGACAATCATTATCACAAATATCTACAAATGCACCAACATCTTCATTTTATCGAGCAAATATATCATCATCGTCAACGACAAAAGGTACTAAACGTATTTCATCGAGCTTAACACCAACATATTCACAACAATCGTCATCATCAGCAAAAAGACATAAAAAACAACATTTTCTCTGCTTATTATTTATTTCTTTATATGCACCTCTTCTCTGTAGTTCAGTATCTCATGCAAAAAAAGATTACAAATCGATTATAATGGCACTATTATAATCTAATTTTAATCAGATTTTTAGACCTTAAAAGACAAATTTCATTTGATTTAATTTTTTTTAATCTATTTTAATCGATTATTAAAATTGAATCAATTATACATGGTTATAAAAAAATCGATTTTAATTGATTAAAGTTTTTTAACCGATTAAAGTAAGTTGAAAAAGATTAAATCAAATGAAATTTGTCTTTTAAGGCTGAAAAATCTGATTAAAACCAGATTATAATAGTGCTATTATAACCGATTTTTAAGCTTATTTTTAATTATTTCTTACAGCCTCTTTTTAACATGGTATGTACTGTAGATTTCTTTATTTCCAAGTGATAAACTTTTTTTTCTGAGAATTCATTTTCAAGACTTTATTTTTACTGTTTTTATATACATGAAGGTGTATCGAAGTAGGAGTGACATTATCATCAATCCTCCTGTACTGTTGAAACTTTTGAAACCTTTTCATATTCAAAAATTTTCTTCCATGGTTTTCATACTCATGAGCCACATTATTTTGTATTAGACATGCACCAAATCCAATTCCAGGATTGGATTTGACTGGGTTTGGGTTTGATTGGATTTGACTATGTATACCTCCTACGAAGATTGCAATTTTTCGGTAATAAAACTCGTCAAAACCGGTCAAATCCTCGTGTCCATTAGATGCAGTTTTCTTCGCTCTATCCAATGGTAGTATTAGATTTCGTCTAATCCTTCAAAAAGTTTCAAGATTTGACAGGATTTGATCAAAAACGTAAATTAAAAATAAGAATTTGCATAAAAACCTGTCAAACCTTGAAACTTTTTGAAAGATTAGACGAAATCGGATACCACGATTGGATAGAGCGATGAAAACTGTGTCTAATGGACACGAGAATTTGACCAGATTTGACGAGTTTTGTTACCAGAAAACTGCAATCTTCGTAGGAGGTATACATAGTCAAATCCAGACAAATCCAGGAATTGGATTTGACTGGATTTGGTGCACCCCTGTTTTGTATTATGTTTTTATTAATCATAACCTAAAATACAGGCTAAAAGAGATAGAGTTGCCTAGCCATGATTGAAAACATGAGCTTGTGAATGTTATTAGAGATGTTCTATTAACCGTTTACGTATGATAAAAGACTGTTCTGCAATAGTAATAAATTAAAGGACAGAAGATTTCAAGATTATATAGGATTTCCGTGAATTCCCAAGAATTCCCATGAATTCCATAGAATTCGGGGATTCCGCTATTCGCCCCTTGCTATCGATTCATTTCAGAAATAGAACAGCGAACAATTAGCAGTGTTTCTCTCAACAAAAATTTCTTTTTTTTGCAGCATTCCAAATCGTGCTCTTTCTATGTCATGCAAATATCACTCAAAAATGTTTGCGCACGACATAGTGCCAATTTATTTTTATAGTTGTCACAAATACGCGAAAAGTCAACGTTCTTTTCAGATAAAATGAGATTCTTGTAGAACTCAAAACAATTCTATATTTTTCAGAATCTTGAAGAAATATAATTTTATCCTGAATAATTATTGAAAATAAAATTATGTTCCATCACATTTCATCAGCAAATATTTCAACATATCATTCATGCCTTTTGTGGAAAGGCTCACTAACCCAGTATGCACAAACCATTTCATATGATTAGAGGTAATGATAGATTTTGGTTTTTGGAAAAGTTTACTTTTTTGTCAAACAGAGTGACTCGAATCCATAATCGAGTGATTTGTTATACTTTCACTTAAATTGTTTACAATTAAGATAATAGGAAAAGTTCATAGCTTATTCTCTTCTCAATTTGAAAACGACACCAAAACATAAATGTTACAAACGCCGTTTATCATTCAGTATATTGCATTCTAAATCGACATAAACGTCATTTGTATTTTCAAGTATACCAATATGTCAAGCAGAAGCAAGATATTGACGCATCTTAAAATCATTACTAGTAGAATGTGAAATAAATACTTTTTCAAAAAATACAAGAATTATTATAAGATTCAGAAAAGTCATATGATAACACAAAAAGAGAATGAACAATCGATACACTCTTAAAAAAAGGTTTCTCAAAAAACGACTAACATAGGTTTTATAACTGGTCTCGGAAATCTTGAAAAGGTTTTTCAAAGGGAAAAATGGGTTTCTGAACTTCGGAAACTCTTAAAGGGTTTCAGACAGTGACAAAATTGGAAGCTCTGAAGGGTGTTCAAAAAACGTTATCTGTTTCTGACGTTCGGAAACCCGTTTTTCCTAATTTTGAGACATCTTTTAAATGTTTTCAGAAACCTATTTTGGACACTTTCCGAGAAAACCTTTCTTTTTAGAGTGTATACTGTTTTTATATGACGCAGACAATTCGATCTTCAGGCACATATTTTTTTTTTCATCTTTTTTTTTTACACATGCTTCAATAGAGTACAAGTTACTGGTCATCAGCATTGAGTTCTTAGCGTTGATAGACGCTCTTTTCAGGTCGAAACAAATCAAAAACAGGGAAGGTATCGTTTTATGTCAAAAAACACACGTTGTTCAAAAAGTGAAAGATTTTTTGTTTCGCCTTTCCTCGTGCCTTTTGAGAATACTTTTTTTCTATTCAGCGTTAAAAACTAACTAAAGACAAAATGTTAAATTGACGTTAACCAAACATACTCTCTGACGATAACACCTCGAATTGCGCCGAGTATAATGTATCTAGCTCTACTGAGTAAACCTATCTATATAGTTTTGCTGGTTGAGCGAAGAAATCTAATATTTTATCTCGTTCCATTGATCATGTTATCAGTCACAAAAGTATGCATAACTTCTATTATATTGCTTCATTGTTCAGAACACTCATTTTTGTCTGTCAATTTTGGGCCAAGAACAAAATTCTGCCTGCTATTCAAGTTTTTTTCCAAAAAAATTAATATTTATGCAATAAAGCTACCCTATTCAAAATCTATGTAAAAAACTGAGATCATTGATGTAATCTTTCATGATCTTTGACGACTTTAGATTTTTTTGTTGGCACTTTCAGATTAAAAGGACATCCGAAATTTTCAACATAAAACAATAAGCCATGAAAAATTTGGATGTGTATCGTGATGGGCTCGGTTTTCCATATAGACTTTGAATAGGGTAGCTTTATTGCATACATGTATATCAACGAAAATTTTTTCTGACCGTAAACTCTATATTTTAGATAAAAAATACGATTCATAATCATTTTGTCATCGACAGATAAGTTGCATTTGATTCTTCTATTAAATAGAGAACGAATCAAAATCAATTGTCAGTTTATAAACTATGCACATTCTGGCCTACTCTTCAATAGAACGTCAACCATGGCTGATATTGCTTGTCAGTTCATCGTTTAGTGTCCTTGTTTACTTAATCCCAGCGGTATCCAACAAAAATTGATTCTTTAAGAAAAAAAGTATTCATTAATGAAAACAACTTTTTCTTAGACAGCACATTAAACTGTTACAATGGTTGATGTGAACAAGAAGTAACACGCGTGTAAAAACTACGTCAATGACTTACAAAGAAATAATATGTCCAGAATAAATTATCATGTCGCTAGATGCTTCTATGAAAGTGTTCGCTACAATACAATTGATGCAGAAAAGACTTCACAAAGAATACTTGTTCTGACCGTATCTTATAAGTCATTTTGTGACAATCAAAACGCTTAACACATCGCTTAGCATTGAGCATGATAGGAACCCGATCCATATGAAAATCGATAGATGACTACTAGATTCAAAGCACTTACTTTGTGCGCTCATGTGTCTTTGTCAAAACAAAATGCGAAAATGAATACAAATACTTCTTGCAACGAGAGAGAAAGCAAGAGCAAATATGTTTCTCTCATTTTTTTTCTCAAAAAAAGACTTCATTTTTTTTAAACAGAAAGAAATTCGGCACAGCATTCAAATGCATTTTGCTCATTGATCGACTCGTGATGGAAGAAAAAAGTGAAAGTAAATAACACGATTCGCCTTAGGCAATTGTTGATCATTTTCAGCAGAGAAACGATGCGTCCTACGCTCTGCTTCGAAAGTTCTCTCTTAATTCATCTAGGCAGAGCAAACGTTTGTTCGCAAAAAAAATGTGACCATTCCCTGGTGATTGGCTGAGGACTAATAAAAAAAAACAAACAGCGTGGCCAAATATTCCATCAACACTGCTACAATAGAAATCTAATTGTTGACTACGACTATTAGCATGAAATAACGTCCACTAGAACATTTTTGGGCTACTAAAATAACAACAGGTACCAGAATTACAAGTCCAACGGAATTTGCGAGTGAAGTGTCACTGATCCGTGAAAGAAGAATCATTCGCATCTTTCTCTGTGAATCAAAGCACTATTCGAGTTATCAACGTCTTTTACGAGTTCAACTATTGGCATGCAGCTGATGGTGTCCATCGCTCCTTTCTATAAATGGTTCGAAAGAAGATCGACTGTGGGAGTGTCACCATGTGAGTCATACTGATCCAGTCGTTTTCCAAGCGTAAAATAACTTTCAAATGGCTAGAACGATCTAATATGAGAAATAGTGACGGACAATTCTCCGATTTTAGTTTCACTATTGAAAAGTAGTTCTCATTTTTCTTTTGTTTTCTCTATTATATTTTTATAATATGGCAACTCATTTATTGATGACACGATAGTCGAAAGTGACTTATACAAGCAGTGTTCAATTCAAACCATCTTGTATGAAATGGTCTTCATAATGTAGTAATCGAATGTTGACAATGTGTCCTTTATTAGTAACACTTGATATTATTTCACTGTTTGCTTTTACGTTCTTCAGCTTTGTCTCAAAAGCTTGTTCTCCCAATAATGTCAGAAATAACATAATATTCTTATGTGATTCAGCTTCACTTTACCTGAGTATTGACGTTGTGGTGTGCTTTTGGCAAATGAAAAAGAAATCCCACAGATGTCAACCAACAAAGTGCAGGATTCGTTGATAGTTTATCGAACATTTCTGCGCAAGAGAAAGCAGCTACTTAAATACACCAT